TGGGATGCAGCCTGCTGCACTCCAGTAAAAAGAGCACGTCAGGTTTCAAGAATATTTTTCTGCGCGTTGGGACAGGTTCGCGCCGGGTCCTTCGGAATTCTTGAACTGTTCTGGTTCTTGAGAGCGGTTTTGACGGGCGTTGCTGAAACAAAATAACTCATTGGCTAAGAAATCAGTTGCAGCATGTGTCGGCCTATAGTGAAATAAAGGAACACCTCAACTGCCGTTTCAATGCAAGTGGTCAGTTTAACGGAGAAGCTTTGATACCTACATGTGGTGGAAAGCAGCTACAAGGACATGTTTACAATGGGACATGTTACAAGGACTTGCGTGCTCATTGAGTTTTGCTTGATAATAGGGGTCACAATGGACGTTCCATCACAGTTTGACTTGCGCAGACGAATTGTTTTGATCTCGGCACTGCTGTTCCTGCACAGCTTGTGCACTTGTTGTTTGGGAGAAAGTGCGTCGCGCCCTTGTCGAGACCAATGCGTGCTTGGGAGCTTCTTGTTTGGTTTCAGCTTGCGGTTTCTTACTGACAAATCTGGCGCTGTGTGGCACGGGTGGTTCCCATACCTCTCCGAAGGTTTTCATATCTTTGCACAACAATGGGTCTGACTCATTAAGTTGTTTGTCCCCAAGACATGAGTGGTTTGCTCTTGGTTGCCCTTAAAACCACCCCAAAAAAGGGCCCCTCAAAAAAGGACGAGCCGTCCAGATGGTTGTGTACCTGGTTCTGGCGCCCACGGCTTGTAGCAGTGCTTCGTTTGACGTGTTTGAGTCTGGACTTGATTTCTATAAGCAACATCTCAAAGAACAAACCAAATCAACAACATGGGTGAACAAACACGTCACCAACCTGAACTACATTTCTAAAACAGTCCTCGTGGTGGCTACAAACGGTAGAACTCGTTTTACTTTTTACGTAGAACCAGTTCAGGCCGCGCGTCAGCGAGTCGCCGAGTTGCCAGGCAAGCGTGCTGAAAGCGCTCGTGTGCTCCGAATGCAAATTGGCGCCGCTGCTTTAGGCGCCTCACCCAAAAGCGCCGTCTGGGTATCTGGAACATTGACAGAACCCACCGGGAAATTGAAAACCGCTGAAGAAATGGTTGAGTTGATTGATCAGCGGCTTCATTCTACGATTCTGAAGGCTAAACTGAAAGTTTGTTGCAGGAGACCTCTACAACTCACTCTGGTCCAATGCCTTTAACTCAACTAGGTCCCCCAGTAGTGCCCTTTCGCAGCCTTTTTTGGTTGGGAGGGTTTCCCTACTAAAAATAGACTACAGACAAAAAAATCGGGTACCCTTAGTCTAAGCTGACCTGGCTTGTTGGTTTGAAGGGGATTTGTCACTGGACATCTTTTTCCCTGGTTTACCTAGTTTAATCAACTACCAGGGCCATCTACTTTCCCAAAAAGGACACCTATCTGGGTGAATTATAACGACCTCACACGACCGAATTCACCCCAAATGGTGGTTTATGTGGGGAATAGCCCCCAACCACCGCAAGTGTCAGGTTGATGAAATATTATAATTCACCCAGACCTATGGGTAGACTATGGGTACCCTACTCAAATAGACAAAACTGCAAAACAGTTGGTACCAACTTATTCTAAGCTCTCTACTGGAGAACCTAGACATGGTAGAGTCCTTCAAATCTCAACATGGTAGAACCATAGGTGTCCTTTTTGGTTGATTGGCCCCCAGCCAAGAGGTCTGTACGAGGGACACCTATGGGTAGAACCCTCGAGAAATCTCTGCTCCTTTCACTCGACACCGGAGGCCCAGGCTTGGAAGTGCGCAACCCCGTAGCTCGATGCATGGACCTGGACGGAAGCGGAAGCGGACGAGAGGAAATCGAAGACTTGACTTGACTCTTCCTCCAGTTCTTTTTTCATGTTGACTCTTCTTCCAGTTGGTTAAGTGTTTTTTTTGGTTCCCCTGTTGGTTTCAGAAGGGAATCTATCACTACTGGATTTTACTCACCATAAATATTCGGAAGAAGCCATGAATTATTTGTACTTACCATTTTTGATGTAAAGAAGTGAAGAATATGATGTAAATATTCTTGGTTGAGAAGCCAGGCGGAAGGCCAGCGAAACCATGATCTTCCACTTGCTGAATGAATATGTGTTTTGTTTTGCCCGGTTGGTTTTCAAGGGAATCTATCACTACTGGAAATATTTTGCCTTTTTCCCAGGGGACTTGAGCAAATGGAGGTCTTGGAGCTGCTTTCTGGCTGGGCTTAAGGGATGAGCTGATCGCAAGGGAGCCGGACATTTTATGAGCAGTTACATCCGTCTGCCAACTGCAAATGGTTTCAAACAAATTAGGTTTCAATGCCAGAGAGGTTTGGCTTGGATCTTCGTAGACTATGTTTTCTCAACCTGAAAGCAGTTAAACTGTGCCAGGGGATTGAGACATCCAGTTTGGCCTTCAAGCTCACCTTGAGGTCAGGCGACCGAAACTTGGGATGAAGCCTTCCATGGGCGAGCATGTTGGAATTTTGGCCGGGTCAAAGCTAGGATCCCATGTTGTTTTTTGTATTTCGTTTATTTTTGTTTGGGGGGGGTTCAAGGGGGTCCAAAAGGACAAAGCACATTTTGGAGGGACCCTAAAAAAGAGCGACCCACATGAAGCACAGCATTTGAAGGAGTCTTTGGTTTTGACAGGAGGCGAAAAGGGTAAGGCACTTTGAGCATAGGACAAGCCGGGATCCCCACTACTTACGGAACGCCTACAAGAAACAAGCAACTTCCAGGAGTCATATCCTTGAGGATCACCTAAATTTGCTGATAAACACTACTACTTCGCCCTCTCGTCATAGGCTATTTCGAGGACCTGAGAGGTACGGTGCGGGGAAGGTTTTTTTGTTCGCCCTCGCCCTCACATGGGCCTTCGGAACACTCCTTTCTGAGGACCCATTTGTTTTTCTGAGGACCCAGTTTCGTTTTTCTGAGGACGTTCTTCGAAAGGCAAACCCAGCAGCTTTGCTCTAGAGACCAACCCGTGTGCATTCTACTGGCAAGTCGACTTTGCTCGAAATGCATGTCCTCGCGCCCGCGAACCGCGAAGTTCAGGAGCGTGGCCATAAAACCTGTGGCCACTTTGCACGGTTGATGCCCGGTTACGCCGAAGGCCAGCTGCCTTTCGAGTTGCTCACGCGGGTTAGGACATCCTGCTTCCTTGATTGCTGTTGAAAGCAAGCGGGATTCAAACAACAGGCAAGATTGCCATGCTCGAATCTCACACCGGGTGTATCTTTTCTAAGGTTGGACCCCCCAAAATGGTGGTTTCCTTTTGCTTCCCCCGTGCAACCACAAACAGGGGTACCCTCAAAAATGGCAGACTCAACCAACCCTTCCTGCACGGAGTTGACCCCAACAATCCCCAATGTGGCATCCCGAGTGTTCGTTTGGTGGGGATTGCGCAGAATTTTCAGCCCCTAGAAGAAGTTCCATTGGTCAAACCTGCACGGTCAACCCGAAGCTACTGTGAGGGCCAGAAAATCAGATAGAATTTGTTGGGTACTTTAAAGCCAAGCTTAGTCATAATCACAATATAATATGGTGTGTAAGTCTCTTGGCTGGACGGTGCCCCTAAGACCTAAACAATTATATTGTCCAACCATAGAGGTGACCGACCTAATGTTGAGCCCGGATTAAATCCAACCCGCTCTATTATTAGAATAGGGGAGTCTCCAAAAGTCACGAATCCCCACCCCCCCTCAAAAAATGAGCAACAACCAGGGATTCTTAATCTGGTGTCAACATATCGAAGGCGAACTGGCCCCGTGTTTTTTTGCAAATTCTCGCAGTCGCCCCCTATGTGACGGTGAAATGCTCAGTGTGTGACTTTGATAGCCCCGAAAAGCTCACTCCCTAAGTTCCTGGACTGTATACTTCTTGGGAAGACCCTTTCAGCAATTTAGTGGTATATAAATGGCAAGTTCCTGGATTGTATTTGGCTAATCCGGTCGGAAGTGATCAAACCGTCAAAATAACAACTCAGGGGAGGAGCAACCTAGAGCAATTCTCCGGGCATGGTTTTGTGTCGGAACTCAGAGGTAGCCTGGTCTGGGAAGGGCTCGCTCGCGAGTCAGCTGCTGCATCTAAAAAATGCGACCCAAAGCTTTCTTGGCTTAGCAATGGCATGTCCTTAAATGGATAATCACCACACAAAATGTGCATGGGGTGTATTCCCTCTTCTTTTTTTGGTAGTTTGAGGGTTCTGGTATCTTCACTGCTTCTGGTAATTGGGGGTTAGTCTTTTGCTGTGTTCATTTTTTGGTGGCTGCAAAACAGGTGCGTGCCCACGATGGAGAGGAAGCTCCGATCGGAAATCGGATTAGCCAACCCTCTGTTTTGAACGGACACCGGGCAGGCCTCAGGATATGCATGCCGGCGGGATACCAATGGTTGTGTCAGCCACCTTTTTGGAGTAAATAAATCACAGGCTAAAGGCAACCGAGTGTCAAGTGTTTGGATGCTTCTTCATTGCAAGTATGGGACAGGTTGAGTTTCCAGTTTGCCACACTTGATTAAGATGGCCTGCTTGCATTGCGAACGCTGACGGGAGTTTACCGTCTAGACCAAGAGGACCCCCACAGGGAGAACCTCGCGTGTCTTAGTCGAGCCTTACGCCCAACACGTAGAGTATGGTTTTTGCTTTGCATCCTTCCAATGAACCGATCTGTTCAATCCAACCGGTCATCTTCTGAACCAATGCTTGTCTCAACCTCTCAACTCCATTGTTTCTCCAAATGATACAGTAGAGGTTCTGCATGACATCAGGCAATCCCACCACGGTCGCTGCTACGCTTGACGACTCACAGGCATTGCCCGGCAGAGCTTTCTTTTTGGGTTTACGACTAGCGCTAGCTGGGGGAGCTCAGCAACATCCCACTCACTATCATTCATGGGGGGGCATCCACCATCCAAAATTGGGAGGGCTATGGGGTTCCAATTGTAAAGCATCCAATCAAGTAAGCAGGGTGACAGTTAAGGTGACATGCCAGTGCCATGGATGCTTCACAAGCATAGGTCTTACATTCCGCACATCGCTGAGAGGGCATTGACGGTGAAGCAGCTCTGCGACCTACGCATCTTGACTGCTATTGGGTTGGATCTTTAGACTTTACCTTTTTGGGAAATAGAGGTGTTTTCCACTAAACCCCCAAAAACTTAAACGTTTTGCAGGAGGGTCGTTACCGCAACCGAGGCATCTTCTTGCAAAGGCTTTGCAAGGCCAAGTTGCTGACTCGGCGGCAGGCTTCGAATGCAGATCCGCTGCAGTGGCATCAGTTAAACTTGTACCATGTGACGGACGAAGTGATTAAACCTGTCATTAGCTTCCGCGCGAAAGGCGCGCATGCAGGATACTCCTGGGCGGAATTGGTGGCAGAAGGACCTCAAAAGCCGCAATTGATGGTCAGTCACTGGTGGGGGGGACGTTTTGTGGATTTCATGTATGCCATTGACAGGATTGTGGATGACAAAGCTTTGGGCGTTGGGGCCGCCTTGTGGATTTGCACGTTTGCTAACAACCAGTTTGGAGAAGACTTTGGTGCAAATATCCGGGATACACCTTTTGTACAAGCCATTCAACAAGCAGATGCCACCATTCTGATGGTTGATCGTGATGCGGGATCCTTGAGACGTAGCTGGTGTTGCCTTGAGCTGCACTACACCATCTTGCAGGAGAAATCCTTGGAGTTTTACACCTCCGCTGGTCCCATTGGATCCAAAACGGTTTCTTCAGGACTCTTGGTGGATGCAATCTCTGAGTGGGATGTGCGAGAAAGCGCCGCTTCAGAGGAAGCGTACCGACGTCAGATTTTGAACTTCATCGCTGAAGTGCCGGAGCATTCTGGGTTGCTCACGGCTTCGGGAAAACTTCTCTTGTCCGACGACCAGCGGCCTCAAGTGGACCCCTCCGTGAATCAAGAGCAGTACCTTGGCGGCTCCCAGCCATCCGTTTCTTAGCTTTTAGGTTTTGTGGTGTTTGGTGGTTGGATTTCCATTTCACCCACTACAAGTTGTTCAGTTTTCGCGGGAGATCTGAAAACGCACAGCCCAGATACGAGCGGGAATTCATGGATTCGCAGCGCAAGGCCTTTGAGGATCTGAACATGAACGTGCGTTTCTCCGTGATCGGCTCCATAGGCCGGCAGAACAGGGCCAAAGGATGCAGAATCCCCGATGCATCGCAGAGGGGCATCACCTTGGGCCAGTTGCGGACCTTTGCGCGCAAGGCCAGCCGAGCCTTCAAAAAGATGTGGCCAGAGGTGGATTGGCAGAAAGTGTCCACGGACCAAGTTTGCGAGCATTTCGTTCTGCCCCAGACCAGACACTTTCAGAGTCTCCCGCCGCATGTTGGGTGTTCCTATGTGGAGCTTGTAGCCGATGGGCCTCAGTTTCCTTCCATTTACATCGACTACCAGTTCTCCATGTTCTTTGCGGACATCATGGCCTGTGTTGAATGGCTAGCGGAGGCTCTGCGACTGAAAGACTCTGACGTGTTTTACTTCAACTTGCTGGGCTACAACCAACACTGCGTCGGCGAAGAGATCAGGGCCAATTCATACGACCAAGACAACAACTTGGCGGTGGACAAGGCCCAATCTGGCTGCCACAGCTTTCTGCTTGCATCAAGTGCTGCAACCGCCACTGACACGTCTGAGGAGAAGTGGACCTTGTGTAGGGCCTGGCGGCTCTACAACATCGAGTGCGCTGTGAGCTTGGGACAGGCAATGTACATTACTTGCCCTTCAGGAGTGATGGCGTGCACAAAGTTGTTCCCGAAACTTGCCCAAAGCGAATCAAGCTTTTGACCTTTTGGCTGTTCCAAAGGTCCCAAAAGGTGAATCTGTTATTACCACGTCCCCTTGACCAACTGAGGAACGGGCACTCCAAGTTTGGGACGGTTGACCCTAGCATCATCAAGACAATCTTTGAGACGACTGAGGCTGACATTCTGCAAGCTCCCTGTGCACTGGAGGAGGATCGCAAGAAGATCTTGGCATTTCTCCAAGGGGGGCACAAGGGTTTAGGAGTGCAGAGGCTGCAACTACGCCTGCAACGATGGAGTGCATTTCATTTGGCTCTGGTCTTGGCTGGCAACCGAGATGACCCTTCATTATTGCAGAAGATCCTGTCCATACCTGGCTTCAGTATTCATTCTGAGTTTGCCAAGGGGGCCTTGGGCGAAAGCGCTTTACACAAAGCAGTGGCAGGCAACCGACTCAGAACCGTGGAGATGCTTCTTGATTTGGGGCTTTCCCCCAATTCCACGGATGCGATGCAAGAGACCCCTCTGCACTATGCAGTTCTGGCAGGAGATGCCGCTATGGTGGATCTGCTAATCGCACGAAAAGCGGATCCAATCATGGAGTCCACTTTCGGTGAAACTGCGCTGGAGGTTGCTGCTCAAAATGCTGCGGCCTTCTTAGGCCACGAATCTGCACCGCTAGCGCGACAGCTCGAAGAAGCCGAGCAACGCGCGTTTCTGGAAAGCGAAAGTGCCTCCTTTCCTTCCATCTCACCCAGCTCCACCTTCGGTGTTTAAGAGGCAAACATTGAGCACACAGCACATGGGCCGATTCTGGTGACATGGATGAAAGAACTGGGGTTCCCAGCTTGGATGAAATGCGTGGCAGTTCTTAGCTTTCAAACAGGTGAGGGTAGTTTCCCTCAAAGTTTCAGGCACCTTGCGCCATTGTCGTGTCTCTTTCTTCCCATCTTCCTCAGGAATCAAGCAATGCCTTCTCTTGATTTCAGCAGGCGGCTCGGAAACTGCATGCTTGAAAGATTGCTAGAGGGCAAATGCTGAATTACCCTGGCAAACCAGAATAACGAACCATACTTTGAATCATTACGGCTTTCCACAGATGCGTAAGTAGACAGACCAGTTGTGGTGTAGGATTGGTTCTTTGGTGTGACCGAAGCGCCCCTTAGACAATGGACATTAGACATTTTGGAAACAAATATGGGTGTGTCTTTCGTTTGGGTACCCCTTCCCTCCCTTTTTGCCAGGAAACCAAACACACAGAAGACGTAATTTTGGTGGGTCCCTTAGAAAAGACACAGCCTGACCCTGGCTGAACCGGTTTTGCTCCAGAGCTTCGGGGTGTGGAACCTGGCGCTCCAAAAGGGTGGGGTTTTCTGGGGGCACGGGAGCCCGAGGTCAGCGGCTCACGGTGGCGGACATTTCCTTGGCGTGCTCCTTGAAAGCGCCCTCCGAGAAGGCCAGTTCACTCTGGGGTCATGATTTGTGGGGTTCACTCTGGTAGCAATTGCCAGCGCTGAAGAAGCACTGACAGATCTCCAAGTCTCATAGGATTTCTCCAAAAGGTGGACCCTTTGTGAGGGGTCATGATTTTCACGCTTTCTGGGGGTGATCAAAGTCAGAAAATGGAATCGGTTCTTTCCCTTGACCCACCACTTAGGGGGTGACTTTGATCATGGTAAAATAATGAGAGCCAGTGCACTTTCAAGTCTCCGTTCACTTGCTCGGACCGAACCTGGACGACACCCAAATGGCCGGGGGGGCAAAGGAGGGTGGTTCCAAGACAATCAGGCTTTTCAGTGCCCCTTTACCGTTTCTTGTTTGGTTGGGAGGATTCCCCTACTAAAATAGACAGAAAAAAAGTGGGCACCCTTATTCTAACCTCTCTCCAGAGCCTTAATCCTTGGGTAAGGGGTGCCCCCATTCAATCGACGTTGGCTTCTTCCGGGACTCTGGGAACTCGGATTGGCTGACCCGTTTTGAAGCTGTGGGTCAAAACCAATAGTACCATCTTGGGGTAGGTGCACCACCCATTTTGGTCCATTTTAGTGGGGAGTGGGATGTTCATTGGGGGTACGGGCTTTTGACCCATGGCCAGTTGTTAAGCAGATGAGATTCAACTTTCTTTTTGGGCGCAGAGTCCAATGCAAGTAAACCAAGCGCAAACCATCATCACTAGACTTCCCTCTTCCTACTTGCGACGCATGGGGAAACAATCTGATGCATTCCTTTTTGTGCTTGGACATGTTTGGACCATCAGCAACTTATTCCATCTTTGTTTGGTTCGGAATTGGTCACGACCCAACTGGATGGAGATTGGGGGTCTTCGGAAACCTGAGGTTTGCGATCCTTTGGCGAACTCCTCTAGCATTTGAGACCCCCAGACGCCCTGCGTCTCGCGTCTTTTTCGAAGCAACTGGTCCCACCTTTACGGAGGATCCTCTGTGGTGGCAAGGTGTCGGGCAAAAAACTTGACTGCTATTGAATTGCTATTGGTTTGGATCTTTAGACTTTAACTTTTGGCAAATCAAGTTGGGTTTTCCATCTAAACCATCCAAGAGTTAAACACTGTTTGCAGGGGGGGTCCATCGGAGGGTTCCTCCTTCAAAAGCTCACCGTCTGTGTCTTTGCCTTTCCGGGGTCGCTGGGTTCCCCCGAGAAACTACGGGAATGCCAGGACCCAGTTCCTTTAGATGGCGTCAAGGCTGAGGAAACCTGGGGTGAATGAAACAGTTCCACTCACCGGGAGGCTTCGCACCACGAATCGTTCTACGGTTTCGTTTGGGACCTCTTTCCCAAGCCCGCGCGCGCGTTGATCCCGCGCCGCTGATCGAACAACCGGGGCGAAGAACATAGGTTCCTTCTCCTTTCGAATCGGGTTTGCTACTGCAACTTGCGTCACATTCCTTTGCGGCTCTTTGGTTGGATCTTTGGACTTTCACTTTTTGGGGGTCCAATGGAGAAACTTGTTTTTGTTTGAGGAAACAGTGGTTTCTCAACGTTCAACTCTAAAACCAAATTTGTGCGGAGAATCCACCTTTATTGCGATTTATGTCTCTTGGATTTGGTTGGATTTTTGGACTCGAACACTTTGTGGGAAGCAGTGGATTCCGCAGTGGCCCCACCTTGACCCTCAAATGACGTAGAATAATTGGGCGTTCTTGTTTCTTAGGCGTTGATTAAGGAAAACGTGAAATTCCGTCGAAACACAAAACTACAAATCAAAGAAGAGAGAGAGAGATATTAAAAAAAAAAACAAAAGAAGAACAAAAGAAGAACAAAAGAAGAACAAAAGAAGAACAAAAGAAACGGAGAAACAAAAAGTCTTTGTTTGCCTCTTGAGGGTCCAGGCACACAAAAGAACAAAGCAACTCGATTCCCGGCAGCTCTTTTCGCCAGGCCGGGCACGAGAAGTTGCGCGAGACCCACCCCAACGCGCTGCGGCGCCTCGGAGAATGGGCTCTAAAGGGTGGGGCTTGGGCTTCTAGGTCCCCCAGCGATTGGCGCCAACTTTTACCACTTGTCTTTTTTGGTTGGGAGGGTTCCGAACCCTACTAAAACAGACTACAGAAAGAAAGTTGGGACCCTTACCTTCCTCACCAACTTTTTTGGTTGGCCAGTTCTCCTTCCATGATCTAAGCCACCTTCCAAGTGGCAGTTTTCAGCGAAATGCCTCATTGCAGTTTCCAACTTCACGACGGTTCGTAGACTAGGTCCCCCAGTACTTTCTCACCGTTTCTTTTTGCGGGGGAGGGTTCCCCTACTAATATAAAACAACAGAAAAAAGGAAAAGGGTACCCTTACTTTCCTCACCCCTTTTTTGGTTGGGAGGCTTCCGAACCCTACTCAAACAGACAGAAAAAAGGGGACACTCCCAAAAAAAGTCAACCAGGGCTTTAGTACTCCGGGGTTAACATAACACCCCGAGTTGCTTTAGAGGTCTCACAACTTAAATGGTTTTGGAGCCCCAACATCCATCAGGAGCCTTCGATGTTCTGGTGTCCCTTCGTTTCCTTGAAGGCATCCCAAAAAGAGGGACATCGCAGTTGTGTTTCTTTTCTGTGTTTTTCCCCAGGTAGCTGAAAGCCATAAGGTTCTTACTTCTAAAGAGGGGGTGGTTGTGCAGCGAAACAGGCCAAGTAGGGGGCTGCCGGTGCTGGTCAGGGTGCTGATTTCTGATGGCGCTTATTCGGCGCTGTAGCCAGGGTGCCGGTGAGGGTTTTGTTCAGGGTGCCGTTTTGGATTCTGGTCTTTTGGGTGGTCAAATCTCCAAGGCTGTTTGGGGTCTATGCCGGTGTTGCTTGCTTTTTTTTTTTTGGTTTGCACATGTTGCAGGACCCTTTGAATCACGGGAACCCAAACAACAAGTTAATTCGTCAGAAGTTGCCGGAAATTGATCTCTGCCGCAATCGCTTTGGGGTCGCCAGCTTGAACCATGATTTCTGATTGAAGGTCCACTTCGCAGATGAACAGCCAGGCATGGTTGTTGGACATATTTTACATGTTGCTTATTGTGGTTCAGAGGGAAGTCCCCAATTAACTGCTATAGGATTTAATTGTTTTGCTCCCCTTCCAACGTCCACGAAGCAGGATGGGCCATGGGCGTGGGTTTGGTTTGAAACTCGTAGAGTTGGCCCCACCGAGTCGGCCGACTGGCCGACACTTGGAACATACGTGGCAAGCGACACACGGCGAGGGTGTGGTCGGTGGTGCCAAGACGATCGGATCACTGAAAGGAAGATTCGAATCCTTTTTGCAGAGGCCAGCACAACCACAACCAAGCTCATGACTCATTTCATGTGGGATTGCCCTTGAGACGTTTTCCGGTTTTCTCGGTTTTCTCGGTTTTCCGGCTTTCTCACGCGAATCCGGTTAGCTCCGTATCGCTCAAAAGGATTGCTTGGTAAGGCTCAGTTCCCCTGGACTTGGGATGACTTGGGAAGTCTTTCAGTCTTTCAGCATAGGTGGCTCCTCACCAGCTTGCACCACATTGACCGTGAGGTGGGCGGGACGTGTTTCGTATGCAATTCTCAGACCTGCGGCTTGTCAATGCCCCTTGGGCTAGAGCTCGGAGCTCCAAATTTGCAACCACGTCGGGCTGTGTCGGCTGATCACATCTTTGTTCCACAAGGCGGGTGAGATGCTGCTCGAGTTTCCCGGCCCGAGCCGGCCGGCACGGAGTTTGAGAATTCCTGGTCCCACCTGGTGCTTTACCAAAGTTTCTCAGAATAGTCACAACCCAATCTTGGTACGAGTGAGGAACTAAAAGGAAAGCAACCATTGTGACTATGACGCACTCTTTTTGGAAACCTGGACTTAGAAACAATTCGGCGTGTTCAGGCGTTTGTGCTTCACCCTACTGATAGCGCAGATTGCAGCAGCTTGATTCATGAACATTCGAGGCCACTAGAAATGGTTGCCAAAAAGGGGGACTAAAAAGGGTCAAAAGGCGTTTGGGGTTCCATTTGACCCCCACGTTCATTCCGGGACCAAGATGCCCGGCACCTCACAGAGGGGTTCCCTTGAGCAGGATGTTTTGTCAGGTGCCTCAGCTCTTCTACAGGTGCCACTGGTGACTTCACACCACATGACCAAAACTCTACATTGAGATTAGCCGGCCACCTGGCGCTGGAATCGGATTTCGTCCAATCGGGAGGAAGGGGAGGGCTCCCAAATAGCTCGTTTGTTGGGTCGATTTAAGCATGACTCAAACATATGCTGCTTGTTGTGGGTGGATTTAGGCTCTTTTTTCATTTGTTGGGTGGATTATTAAACAGCTTTTCTT